AACGGCAGCATGAGCAGTGATGAGCCTGACAGCGATGATGATGACGAGTTCGATGAGGAGGAAGCTGCGGTGGGCGACAAGGAGGCGAGCAAGACTAAGAAGGTTGCCCCTGCCAAGGGTGCCAAGCTCAACGCGCTGCGTGACTCTCTGCGTAAGCGTGCCAAGCGCGAGTCGGAGAAGTCGCTTGTGGCTCGTTCGTCCTCGCTGCGTTTCGGTTTGAACGAGAACCTCAAGAAGATCGTGCTGCCACACGTGCACGTGCGCAAGCCGTCTGACGTGGACCCGACCATCCGTCTGTACGATGTGGAGTCCACCTGTGTGCTGCTGTCGTGCATGCGCGAGATGGCCTCGACGGGTATCTCGTTCACTGGCAAGGTGGCGCTGCTGACGGGTTGCGGTAAGAACTCAATTGGTGCTGAGATCGTGAAGGCGCTTCTGGAGGGTGGTGCGACGGTGTTCGTGACCACGAGCAGCTTCAGTATGAAGACAACCGCCTTGTTTCGTGAGATCTACGAGCAGCACGGTAGCCGTGGCAGCCGTCTCATTGTGCTTCCGTTCAACCAAGCCTCGAAGGTGGACGTTCAGAGCCTGGTGGCGCACATTTACAACGTGCACAAGCTGGACCTGGACTTCGTGATTCCGTTTGCGGCTCTGTCAGAGGTTGGACGCATGATCACGGACATCGACTCGCGGTCGGAGCTGGCGCACCGCATCATGCTGACGAACACGGTGCGTTTACTGGGTGAGGTTGTGACGGCGAAGAAGGCTCGTGACATCACCACTCGTCCCGCGCTCGTGATCCTGCCGATGTCGCCGAACCATGGCAACTTTGGTGGAGACGGTCTGTACGCCGAGTCGAAGTTGGGTGTGGAGAGCCTCATGAACAAGTGGTACTCGGAGGGCTGGGACGACCAGCTTTCCATCGTCGGTGCCATTATCGGCTGGACGCGTGGCACGGGTCTCATGTCCGGCAACAATGTGGTTGCTGCTGGTGTCGAGAAGATGGGAATGCGCACGTTCAGCACGACGGAAATGGGCTTCAACCTGAGTGCTCTGATGCACCCGAGCATCGTTGACCGTGCCGCTGAGTCGCCGATCTTCGCGGACCTCACTGGTGGCATGGCACAGGTGAGCGACCTGAAGGACCAAGTGGACTCTATTCGTGCTGATATCATGAAGAAGTCGAAGCTGCAGGCTTCTATTCACGCTGCGCTGGAGAGCGACAAGAAGATGCTGGCTCTGCCTGCGAAGAAGCAGGTGGCTGCTCCCAGCTCGAAGACGTTCGCTCCTCGTGCAAACATGTCCAGCTACTACTGCAACTCGTTCCCCAAACTGTCAGGTGTGGCTGGTCTGTCTGCCTCGAAGAAGCAGGCACTGTTGCGTGGCATGCTGGACCTGCGCCAGGTTGTGGTCGTCACGGGTTTCGGTGAAGTGAGTCCGTGGGGTAACTCACGCACGCGTTGGGAGATGGAGTCGTACGGCGAGTTTTCGCTGGAAGGTTGCATCGAGCTGGCGTGGCTGACGGGCCGCATCGTTTTCGACAAGGGCAACTGGGTGGATGCCAAGACAAAGGAGATCGTGCCGGACCACCAGGTGAAGCCTCGCTACGAGGAGGACATCCTGAAACACTCGGGTATCCGTATCGTGGAGCCTGAGCTGTTCGACGGCTACGATCCGAAGAACAAGATGGTGCTGCACCAGGTTGCCATTGACAAGAAGATGTCGCCGATCGAGGTGGCCGACCGCGAGGAGGCTCTGCAGTTCCGCAAGGAGCTGGGCAAGGAGAACGTGGACATATTCCAGAACGCGTCCGGGGCTTGGATGATCCGACTGCGCAAGGGTTCTGTCCTGAACATTCCCCGTGCTCTTAACTTCGACCGCTTCGTGGCTGGTCAGATCCCGACGGGATGGAGTGCTGAGCGTCTGGGTCTGTCGAAAGACCTGGCTGAATCGGTGGACCCGATCACGCTGTATGTCCTTGCGTCCACGATGGATGCGTTCGTCGCAGCCGGTGTGACGGACCCGTACGAGTTCTACCAGTACGTGCACGTGTCCGAGGTTGGCAACACGTCCGGTGGTGGTATGGGTGGTATGCGTGCGTTCACGCAGATCTACAAGAACCGCATGCTGGGCAAGCCTGCCCCGAGTGACGCGCTGCAGGAGTGCTTCATCAACACGCCTCCTGCTTGGGTGAACATGTTGCTGCTGAGTTCGTCTGGTCCGATCAAGACTCCTGTTGGCGCCTGCGCCACGGCTGCTGAGTCGGTGGACATTGGTGCCGAGACGATCAAGAGTGGCAAGGCTCGCATTTGCATTGTTGGTGGCTACGACGACTTCGGTGAGGAGGGTGCCTACGAGTTCGCTCAGATGAAGGCTACTAGTGACTCGGTCAAGGAAACCGGCATGGGTCGTGAGCCGAAGGAAATGTGCCGTCCGTGCTCGACCACACGTGGCGGCTTCATGGAGAGCCACGGTGCGGGTATGCAGTTGTTGATGGACGCTCAGCTGGCTCTGGAAATGGGTCTGCCGATCTACGGTATCGTCGCGCTTACGAACACGGCGACGGACAAGAACGGCCGATCTGTACCGGCTCCTGGCCAGGGTATTCTGACGACGGCCCGCGAGGCTTCATCGGACAACTCGAAGCCATCGCCGCTGCTGGACGTAGAATTCCGCCGTCGTCAATTCGACGATGAGCTTGAGAGTATCGAGAAGTGGTATGCTCGCGAGAAGGCTTTGATCGACGGAGATGACTCTCGTGTTGCGTTCTTGGATGAGATGAAGGTGCGTAAGGTGCAGTCTGCGCAGTCCATGTGGGGCGACAGCTTCTTCTACGGTCGAACGGACATTGCCCCTCTTCGCGGCGCGCTGAGCGTGTGGAATCTGGACATCGACGACTTGGGTGCTGCTAGTTTCCACGGCACGGGCACCAAGGCCAACGACAAGAACGAGAGCGAGGTGACGCACAAGCAGATGGCTCACCTGGGTCGTTCCCCGGGCAACCCGCTGCCGGTGATCTGCCAGAAGAATCTGACGGGCCACCCGAAGGGTGCCGCTGCTGCTTGGATGCTCAACGGTCTGCTGCAGGTGCTTAACTCGGGCTTGATCCCAGGCAACCGTCAGCTGGACAACACGTGCGAGACTCTGCGCAAGTACGACCACTTGGTGTACCCGAACCGCAGCTTCCAGACCGTGGGGGTCAAGGCCGTGATGATGAAGAGTTTCGGCTTCGGCCAGGCCGGTGGCGAAGTGCTGCTGGTGCACCCGGACTACCTCCTATCTACTCTGCCTGTTGACGAGTTCCAGCACTACTCGGCTCGCCGCGAACAGCGTTTGATCAAGATGAACACGCACACGCAGGGCGTGATTACCGGCAAGCATCCGCACATCCAGGTGAAGAACGAAGCGCCGTACTCGTCGGCGCAGGAGAGCAACGTGTACTTGGACCCTACGGCTCGTGCCGAGTACGACGCGACGTCCAAGACGTGGCGTTTTGGCGGCGCGGACTCTCTGACCGCGGAGGAGAACCGCCGTCTGCGTGCTGAGAAGCGCGCGAAGAAGGCGAAGGCTGCTGCGGAAGCGGCGTCATCGTCGAACAAGAAGACTTCGGACGCGCACCAGGCTGACTCGTCCTCGACACTGTTGACTGCCATCAACCAAGCGGCGACGAACCTGGGCCTGGCGTCCAAGAACATGGGCATGGGCGTGGATGTGGAGCCGGTGGCCACGTTCGAGAACCTGAACGGCCGCGAGGACTTCATCCGCCGCAACTTCACGGACCAGGAGATGGCGTACTGCTACAGCGCGCCTCACCCGGCAGCGAGCTTCGCCGGTCGCTGGGCTGCCAAGGAGGCTGTGATCAAGGCCATCTCCAGCTCGGCCCCGACTGAGCCCAACCTGTGGAAGGGTGCTGGTGCTCCGCTGCGTGAGATCGAAATCTTCATGACGGCATCGGGCGCGCCGTCCGTGCTGCTGTCGGGCTACCCGCTGCAGGTTTTCAACCGCTTGGGCCTGTCGAAGCTGAGCGTGTCCATCAGCCACTCGGGCGACTTCGCTGTATCACAAGCTGTGGCTAACTTCCAGCAGGAGTAAGTGCTCGTGACGTCTCTATAGTTTTGCATTTTCATGCTGTACATTTGCGTATAAATAAATGAATGAACTTCAGTGAATACATTTCCAATCTTTTGCAAACTGTTGCAGCTTTTCAACTCTGAATTGCTGAAGTTGACAAACGAGCACTTGTGATTGGCTAGTTTCAGTTGAAGAAGCCGTGAAGAGAAGCAACAAGAAGAACATGGTGAACGCGTCTCCGCTGCCCGGAGACGATCGAGGAGGTTCACCCACCTCGTGCATGCGCAGCTACTCGCTCTCTAGCTACTTCAGCTTCCACGACGCATCAGATCCGCTGGACGTCGGCTCGTCAGCACGCGCGCACGTCGCAGGATTCCGTCAGCAGCATCTTCACGCGCCCCTATCTGAAGCAGGCAGGGGTGCTGAAGTACCGCTTCTCATCGACCAGCGACTGATCGACCTCCTGGGCGACCCGCTGTCGGACACGGATCGCGTCAGTGTCCAACAAATGCCGCTGCGTCCCTGTGTCACTGGGGAGATGGTGGCTGTGCAGGACAGTGACGGCGTGTTGCGCTATGGCAAAGTGCGCGACGAGGAGCCCATTGGCGGAGAAGTCAAAGTGCAAGTGTCCAAAACCTGCATTAGGTGGTATGCAATGTCGCAGATCTACTTCTTCCAGGCAGTTTGCAAGAGCGGTAAGAATGTCAGCGTGTGGGCGGACAAGGAAGAAGGCTCCACGATCGGAGTGATTGCGGAAGTGAATGAACTGCTGGCGCGAATGAATGTAGCGTTGAGCTCGAGCTACGAGGAGCTGTTGGCCGAGATTTTCAGACTACAGCATCGCACGACGCTGGCGGAGGAAGATCGACAAGGGGCAATGAAACAGGTCGAGCAGGCGCTGAGAGAGAAGAGAGACGCTGAGAAGGCCCTCGTTTGTGTTGTCTGTCTTGTAAACTCGGTAAACCGCGTGTTGATCCCGTGCGGACACAGCTACTGTTCCACGTGTGTAGATCGACTCCGCCACCAAGCCTCGTGCCCCGTGTGTCGTCAGGAGATTGCGGATAGCGCGGCCTTTAGAATCTCATGATTGAATGTAGGTTTCTAGGTTCATGGATTTGTAGCCATTGTAGTGGATTTTGTTCCAGTTGCCCCATCAGCTATCCATCATTCTTCAATTTGTCTCCTGTGAAGCACATCGACATGACTAGGGACAAGGACGAGATCGCGCTGTGGCGTGCTGCCAAGAGCTGCAACGCCAAGAAGCTCCAGCAGTTTGTGAGTAAGGAGTCCGATGGAGACATCCAAGCTCTGCTGGATCAGCCGCATCCAGTTAAGGGCACGACTCCATTGATGGTCGCCGCTTCCAAGAAGTATGGAACGGAGACTGTTCGCGCCTTAATTGACTTAGGCGCCGATCTGGACGCCACCGATAAAGGCAAACACCAGAACACTGCTCTTCATTATGCGGCATATAAGAACCGTATCGCCCAGTTGGAGCTGCTGCTAGAGGCAGGGGCTGATCTGTTTGCTCTAAACGGAAAGGGTCACACTGCACTGGATGTGGCAAGACTCCGTGGACGAAAGAAGGCGGCCGCAGTTCTCACCTCTCGCCTACAAATACACAGTGGGTGGCTGTATCTGCGCTCCAAGTCGATGCTGGGGTTCTGGAAGCGCCGTTGGTGTGTACTGCTGGCGTGCAACTCGAAACGCACAGCAACTGAGCTCTGCATCTTCCACGGACCGGACAAAGCGCACCCAGAAGCTATAATCTGGCAAGACAGTCCGGCTGATTCCACGCACTGCTCGCCGTTTGAGGACGGGAAGGCGAACAGCTTCAAACTGGACACGCGTGTCATTTACCAGAAACTTTTCGCTCGACACTACAGTCGGTACAAATCCTCGGGCCGAACGCACGTCCACAAGGCAAGCATGCAACCTCGCGAGTATGTCTTCGCTTGTGACACTGAAACAGGTCGAGATGCCTGGATACGTGCACTGGGGAGTCGACAGCGTGGAGGTGATTGCACGAACACAACCGTCAGCTCCACTTACGTGGGTTCACCTCACAGAGGGAGTGTCAGCTCTCGTGCTGCTACAGCTGACACTGCACCAGTAGAAGATTCCAGCAGCTCTGAAACATCCATCCAAGCAGACAAGTTGGGGTCATTGGCAACCCCTGAACCAGCTCAACCCATGACTCGGGCAACAGCACCAACGTTCGTCGAAGACGACGACGGCTATATCTGGGGCGATGTACCTGGGTCTCGATCCACATCCACATCAGAAATATTTCCATTAGCGACGGTGGTCACTATCACTGGAGACCCAAATGCGCCACAGCAATTGATACGAGACCGATGTATCGTCTGTGCGGAGAACCATCGAGACTCAGTCTGTATCCCGTGCGGCCACGTTGCAGGCTGCTACGACTGCATGCGAGCCGTAACGCAGGAAAACTCGTCGTGTCCAGTATGCCGCGCTCATGTGGATGGCGTCGTTAGGATCCAGGATTGAGCACCGATACATATTTTTCGTTTAGTGTAAGTTTTCATTTGAATATTCAGAACGGCGTTCGATAAGTTCGCTTCGAAGTGTCTTCTGATTTTCGGTGCATACTTGCACCATCGCAACAATGGGTTCATCTGCTACTTGAACTGGGAGCTTCCACTTGCCAAAACGCCGGCCACGATAAAACTTGCGGTCATGCTGGGTTCACTGTGGGGAGAGAGCTGGAGTGTTTGGCGAGCTGCTAAGAAAGCTCGCCTGGACAAACTTGAGGAAGTGCTGCGCTCTGAATTGCAGCCTAATGTGGTCGTAAATCGCAAGCATCCCGTGAGAGGACTCACGCCGCTCATGGCCGCCACAAGGGCCAAGAACACCACCAACGTCGCGGGATGCGTTCGAGTCTTGATATCCTACGCCGCGGATGTCAACACCGTGGACAACACGAAACACAGGAACACGGCCCTGCATTATGCGGCTTGCAACAACAAGGCGACGGCAATTGATATTCTGCTAGATGCTGGTGCCAACATTTTCGCTCGGAATTCCGACGGATTCACAGCTTTGGATCTTGCCTGGATGAGCAGTCGACGAGAAGCTGCACGGGTGTTAATGAGGCGCGTTCAGCTTCAGAGTGGATGGTTGAACATATCCACTAAAGTCACGATACCGTGATGGAAACGGTGCTGGTGTGTTGCAATGGCTTGCGACTCGGAGTATTCGTCAGTGGAGCTTTGTGTCTTCGATCAACTCGATCAAGTTCGCCCTGGAATAATACTGTTATTCAATTCCAACTCAACGCTGGTGATCCCGTCCTGGAGCCCCTTTGAGTTTCACGTAGACGGAGTCAAAGTGCAGCACCTCGGACTGCATTCCAGTGGGGGTGATATCACGGTAAACAAAGAAGCGAAATGCAGCCATGAATTCGCTTTCGCCACCGACGAATGTAAGTCACCCAACGATCGACGTTCGTGGTCGAAAGCTCTTCGAACTAGTTGCGCAATTACCACGGGAGACCGACGCGCATCAAGAATCAAGCGACAGCTTCATCAATCAAGTCAACGGGACATGATGAAGTGTAGTGAGCTGCGGTCTTCGTCTTCCCTATTGTTTGGACGGCGTAGCTCGCAGGAATAATGAGGAATGGCACGTCTGCAGCACTATCACTAATTTCGTTCAATACTTTAAAGTTGCAGTGTATTCGCAAGCGATTTGCACCACCCAGAAGCAAGCTCGCAATATTCCTGGCAACTTACATGTCGAGCAAACAATTGGAGCTGACATGCTAACCACAATTCCTGTCGGGTAGTGTTGCAATGCCGACACCCAACACTTGTGCGACATGGTACAGGTAGAAACGACATACACAATACATTCGACTAACTGGAAATATGTCAGCCATCTTGCAAATTGCACATCTACATATCTTGAAGTGAGTGTTCATGTATGTTCCGGAGGATCACTTCCGAATTGGCAGCGTATCACCAACTACGGTGGAGTGTACGAACTAGATAGACGAGAATGACCCGAGCCGAGTGTGTTGCCGTGTGGAAGGCTGCCCGAGACGGCGACGACGCCAAGCTGCAGAAAATGCTTGTGAACACGCAGGATGCCTTGGCGCCCAACCTCATCAATTGGAAACATCACAATAAAGGCACCACGCCCCTCATGGTGGCAGCCGAGAACAGACGCGGAGAAGGAGTCGTACGGCAGCTTATTGCAGCCGGAGCCGATGCCAATGCTGAAGATGGCACCAAACTCAAGAACACAGCTCTGCACTACGCAGCAATGACCAACCGCGACTCACTGACTGTCGACGCACTGCTGGAAGCAGGTGCAGACGCTTTTGCACTTAACCGCAAGGGGTTATCACCGCTTGACCTGGCACGGCAATATCGTCGGGGGGCCGTTGTTGCGACTCTCATGGAGCACATGAAAGTGCATAGTGGCTGGTTGTTCCTACGTGGCAAGTTCCGCTGGAAGAAACGCTGGGGTGTAGTGTTGGCCTGCAATAAACAACGCACATCCAAAGAGTTATGCGTTTTCCACAGTCCTGAAGACGTTCGTCCCGATGCCGTGCTGCTCGTTGATGAGTCTGCTCGAGCGTCACCTTTCACTTCCAGCGATAGTTTTTGCTGGTTGAAACGCGAATACGCCTTCATCTTTGATAAACCGGTCATGTGCCAGCGCGTGAAGCGACAGAAGCTCACGCGCTCGCCTATTTGCCGGAAGACCATGAGTCAAGAGGACGTTCAGACCCGGGACCTCGTATTCGCAGCCGACAATCTCCACAACCTCGAGCGTTGGCAACAAGTTTTGCAGAGCAACAACTTCTATGACCGCGAGACTGGGACCCCTCTTTATGACATGCCACCGTTTGATGCACCTCACGGTGAGCTCTACTACTGGCCGCATGAGCTCGTCGAGAATGTGCGATCGTCAACATTGCGGCAGCAAGAACGACGTGGAGAGGACAATGAGCCGTTTGCTGAACGACTGCGTCGTACGCTTGAGTTGCCACAAGCTATGCCACAGGACGAAGAGCCTCTTGAAGATATGCTACAAGGTCTGCAGGAACCAAGGAATCCAGACGGCAATAACCAACCTCGAGTGCGATTCGCGTCGTCAGAGCCGCAGAAAACAGTAGAGGTGGTTCAACCAGCACAGCAGCCTCCTCCGAATGAAGGAGAAGGAAGCAATGAGCAAGAAAGCAGTATGGAGACAAACGAAGAGCAACAAATTTCACCTTCAATGCAAACGCAGCAAAACGAGGAGGAACCAGATTTGTGCGGGATGTGTTGCTCGCAGCGACGCAATGCAGTTTGCGCTCCTTGTGGACATCGAGCAGGTTGTCACGCTTGTTTGAGGACTGTGATGCATACCTCACATGCCTGCCCATTTTGCCGAGCTCGAGTGCGCTCCATCATGAGAGTCTACGACTAAACTCACTGGATCGACAGCTTCGACGAGAAGAAGAGTGCAGTCATCCACAGTACAAATTCGACTTGAGTGGATTCTCAAGTCGAATGCTCTACACGGTATTTCAGCCGAAAAATTGCAGCAATTTAGAACTAGAGGCGATGCTTTGGTCTGGGAGGACAGGGACTTTAGGACATCTTAGGGTCTTAAAGTTTCCTAGCATATCCTAAATATTGATTTGATGTTACTAAGGTCCAGGAGAGCGCGCGTAGCCAAAGCAAACCGCGTGGGGTACCCTCGACGCTGGACTGCCCGGTATTGTGAAGGCAAGTCCAGCAATGAGCTCCGCTTTGAGCCGCGCATTGCACAGGCCAGTTGAGAGAATCATTTTTTTGGAGAGTTTCGAACATTGGACAGGCGTCGAAAAAAATGTGGAGGGTTTGTTTATTATAGTAATATTGAGTTCATTGCATTCGTGGGAGCTGGCTAACGCGAACTTTGAAAGCTTTCCTCTTACACCTATTACCAACATGTGCTAAAGGCTTGGCTTCATTACGATTGCTTTTTAGGTTTCTAAATTGTTTTTGTATGAAGAAAAAGCCATGGTGACTGCTCATCAAATGTGTGCAGATGCAGCGGCTGCGAAGCAGACGCAGGAGATGCGTTAATAAATACTTACGCACCAGCGTCACCCTTGCGGGCAAATAATAGCTTTCCAAGAAGAATACTCCAGCCTTCGTGTAGCCACATTATGTGTTCGCTTAGCCAAAATCGGTGGACCTTGGATCCAGGCGACCCAGTTGGAATCTTTATAGATGGATACATTTTGTGGGTTAAAAAGATTTAACCCATCACCATAGCTGGATGGATACAATTTTCAAAAACCACAAAAATGCATCAATTTGTGGCAAAATGTTTTGGGTTGTTTTGGAAAAATGTATCCATCTATAAGAAGCTACTACACGTTTAAGGAAAAATATGTAAATATTTTGTGATAAATGCCATTTGTTTAAACTTTAAACAAATGGGCATTTCTCACAAAATAGTTTGCATATTTTTCTCTAAAATCGTACTTAATCTGGGTAAATTACTTTGGTAATGAAAGTGCCAATCACATCGCGTCTGAGCAGTAGTGGTTTGATTAGCTCAAGCAATCGCCTTCATCCACAGCCATGTTCAGCCTGGACGCGCCGCTGGCGCCCGCCATCGACGCGTTCGTGGACCCGGAGAACGACGATGCCGCGCAGAAAACTGGACTCAACACCGTCGTGATGCAGGTGCACCGCCAAGTAAGCATGGAGGCGCTCATTCAGGCCTTAGGCGCCTACCTCACCAGCGGGGACGACAAGGTTCGGTCGCGTGCCACGTTGTTGCTGGCTGAGGTGCTCACGCGGCTCCCAGAGCTGCAGCTCACGCCTAGCGCCGTGCAATTGCTCATGACTTTCTTCGCCGACCGCCTAGCCGACTTCCCTAGCGCCTCCGCTTGTCTCCGCGCTCTTCTTGCGCTCGAGACGCATCACGCGGCACAGGTCCAATCGCCACGCACCACTGTGGCACTCATCCTGAAGCTTGGTAAAACGCTGCACATTCCGCAGCTGGGCCAGGCCATGCGCAAAATGTGCTTCGACCTCATGCAGCTCGCTCTGATGCAGCCGACAGTCGTAGAGCTGCTGCTGGACTCGGTCCCTGCCAGCAAAGATGCACAGGATGCCAGTGTAGATGACGCGGAGCAGAGCGAAGACCTTGGCCGACAGTTCGCACAGACGTTCCTGAGTGCCATGGAGGGCGAAAAAGACCCGCGTAACCTGCTGCTTTGCATGCAGGTGGCGCGTACTCTGTTGTCCAAACTGGAGCCCGTGTTCTCGCGCAGTGACGCGCTGCTGCAACAGTATTTTGACGTTGTTTCCTGCTACTTCCCGATCATCTTCACGCCGCCGCCTAATGATCCATACGGAATCACGTCAGAGGGACTCATCTTATCACTGCGTCATGCCTTTGCTGCTTCGGACTTATTGGCGCCGCTGGTACTGCCGTTCTTGCTCAAGAAACTCGCATCTACCGTAGTGGAGGCGAAGCTGGATGCTATACAGACGCTGGTCTTTTGCGGTGAACGCTACTCGGTGAACGCGTTGTTACTACAAATGCACGCAGTGGCCACAGCGCTGTATGACGAGGTTCTGGACGGCGAGAAGCAGGAGGTTATTGCTGAAGCTCGTCAGGCCATCTCGCGGTTCTCTGGTGTTGTTGCTCGCGCTAAGGCGCAGGACACGCCGGGTGCTGCCTATGCATGGAGTAAGTTCGTCGTGGACATGACTGCGCGTGCTGCAGGTGAGCTCCGTGAAAATGCTGCCGACTCGATGGTGAGCGTGTCAGCTGGACAGGTGCTGACTGCTCTGGGTCGCGAGTCATCTTTGAGTTTTGCGCATGTCTTGAAGATCGCTGTGCCGCTGTTGGTGGAGCAGCTCACCAACGAAAGCTCAGGAAGCGACAGCGTGTCTTCGAAGTGTGAAGCTGCGCTGGCGCGTATTTTGCTGCTTGTGGACACGATAGACCGAGAGATCGATCAGTCTGGCCAAGCGCAGCCTATGCGTCCTCATGCAGCCGCACTGATTGACGCGCTTGTGAACTTTCTTAGCAGCGATCAAGACAACCAGACGAACCCTGGCAGCAGTCCGACCGCACGCTGTGTGGCGGTGGAGGCACTTTGCCACCTTCTCACCTTCCCACCGTCTCCCATTGTGGCACCAGCCCAAGTTAAGGCGCTTATAAACCTGTTTACCCGCATGCTGCTTCTCGACCCCGCGGCTGAAGTGCGTACTGCTTGTCTGCAGAGCCTGAAGGAGATTTCCACTGTGTCTACCGCGTCGGTGACCTCGACTAACAGTGGCGAGCACCCGGTTACTGGTGGATACGCAGCGTTTGTGGTGGAGATTTCGCTGGCTCGACTCATGGCTGCAGTTAACGAAGGAAGCGACCAGGAAGATGACGATGACGAAGAAGGCACGGGAGTAGCAACTGTTCTAGCTGCATCGAACCGCAACTTCGACTCATTCTTCGAGGAAGCTCTGTTGGCAATCACAGAGCTCTGTCGCGAGGCGTCTATCTTCCAGGCTACCATTTTCCTGCTCATCGACCTGTGTGTGGAGAAGGATGACGGCAAACAGAGTGCAATCGGATTCTGCGAGGCAGAAGGAGACGCTACTCGTCAGCGTCACGTTGATTGCATCCTGGACGCTGTGGCTAAGATCGTCGAGATCAACGCAGGAGACCGTAGCAGCATGGAGTTCTGCGTTAAGGCGTCTTCTTCTGCTTCGATCATCTTCCGTCTGCTTACGGCAGTCGAGACGTCGGCAGCTCGCGCGACGGCGGCATCCAGCGACAAGCCTGGCCTTGTGGACGACGTAAAGCTTTCGGCCTGTGTTAGAATCTTCCGCGCAGTGATGCAAAACGTGTCTTCGGCTACGCAACAGCAGCTGGTTGACGCTGTGGTGCCAGCATTCTTGCGCACCAATCCCTCAGAGCCGGCTAGTCTACAGCTCGTACCGCTTTTCGCTGCAGTCATTAACTCAGCCGCCCGTGACGTGACGATCCCGGAGTCATCGCTGGTCATCAACAGATTGCTGGAGCTTGCGCAGTCGGGCGCTACTGCGGTGCCCGAATCCTCACCTCGACAGCTCCAGCTCGTGTACACCGAAGCTGCTCTTTCTGCGGCCAAGTCGCTGGCTTCAATTATGAACAAGATGTCGGATGGCGCTGAGTTTGACGCTCTCATCGACTTGCTGCTCTCCCAGAAACTTGCCGTAGTGATCAGTAACCCGTACGAGTCTTTTACGGTGCGTGTGGCTGCGTTACAGATCTACGCCTGGATTGCGAAGGGCTTGATCATTCGTGGACACAAGGTGCATGCACCGGTGTGTCTGCGCTTCCTCTGCAGCTTCCTTACGCCTGATGGTGATGTTAACATGGAGCAAGATGACGACCAACAAGCTGCTGCACTGCGCATGGAAGTTGGAAAAACCTTCAAGCTTCTGGTGTCGGAGTACCCGGACGTGCTGAACCGCAAGTGTGGAGCTTTCATCACGGTAAGGAATGCGATGCGTTGTCATAATCGCTCAAAAGGTTGACTTTGTTATGTTTTCCAGTTCCTTTACCGTCAGCGCTTGTTTGACCTGGTGTTCCCCGTGCTGCTCGAGTACATTCGAGCTCATATTGGCGAGGAAACCAGTGTGGCAGCTCTGGTAGCGTTCGCTCAAGTGATCGCGCATTCGCCCAAGGCCATCTACCTGCCACATTTAGCTCAGATCTTCCCGCTCATGGTTCAGGCTCTCAAGACGGATGACCGTGAGCTAGGTAGTGCAGCCATCCAGACCTTTAAACCGCTGCTTTTGGAGTCAGTGGAGAGCGCCAAGCCCTTCCTCAAGGACGTCTTCCCGGGACTACTCAAGCAAGCACAGTTCGGGTACGTGGCCTCTTGCATCGAGCGGCATTTGAACGTGTGAGCTGACTATGTATATGATGTACAGACCTGCTGCTAAGGACCGACATGCCGCTCTGGAATGTCTTGCTAAGCTCGCAACCATCCCGTATGAACTGGTGCATCCGTACAAGGATATCGTGCTGCGGAAACTGTTGCTGGTGCTTGACGACCGCAAACGCCTTGTGCGTCACATGGCCGTTCGAGTGCGCAACCAATGGAGCATCTTGTAGAGGTAGAATGCAACTACATCAAGACTACATTGTACCCTTGTATCGGGCAAACCAAACGCACCGTTGTCGTCTGTATTCTATGTCAGGCGAGTGAGTACTCTACCTCCGTCTTTGCTCTCAGACAGTGTTGAGGTCTTTCTCCTTGGCAGCCAAAAGCTTGTCGATCTCAGCAATGGAGCTGTCTGTGATCTTCTGGATGCGGTCCTTCTGAACCTCAACGTCATCTTCCGACACAGTGTCTTTGAGTTTCTTGGCGTGGTTCATGGCATCTTGTCGCACACGACGCACGTGTTGCCGAGCCTGTTCCGCCTGCTTCTTTGTGGCCTTCAGCAGCTCAGCACGAGTCTCCTTCGACATTCTGCACACGAGTCACTACTCAGCACCCATAATACATTTTTAAATATCGCCAGCTACGTACTTGGGGAAGGAAATCTCGAGCGAGCTCACGTCCTCGCGCACAGAGTAGACTGGGTTCGTGCCTTCAATTGCCTTTTTGACGTCCTGCATGAGCTGTACACCGCAATAACGATTCAGGACCTCCTCTCTCCTCTTCAACTGCAGCAAAACCTACCGACGGGTCGTAGACCGTCACACTCAGCGCGTGTGTGCCGGCAACAGCCACCTGTGCCACCTGCGCGAGCGGTACATGCTGGCCGTACGCCTGTACGTGCAGCTCGTCAAAGATGCCGGCGTCCGCACGTCCCGGCCGCATCTGGCTCAATGTACGTGTGAAGTTGACCACAGCGCCGTTCATGTTCTTCTTGGCCTTCTCCAGCGCCTTTGCAGCTCCTCCGTCCTCTTCGTCGCCCAGGTCATCGTCATCATCGTCTAGAACGGGAGCAGGTTTGCTCTTGCCGCCCTTGGCTTTCTTGGCCTTGGCAAACGAGCGAGTCTGCATCCGAAGTGCCGATGCGCCCAAGCACGGAGATGCCCGCGCAGCAGCTGCGGAAGGGGCAAGCGGACGAGTTGCAACGGCAGCGAAGCGCGCAGCGCGGCGACTGATCATGCGGAGAGCCATCGTCAGCCTCTCGTGAAGATACCAAAAGTAGTAAAGCAACAGTCGAAAATGTAGGACACACAAAGACTGTCAACACCAATAACCTGAAATATCAAGTCGACAATGATTGAAGAGCGACAATAAACACCTCTATCTACCCATTTATTTGTACAAATAAATGCATTGCTTTTGTATACATTTTAGAAGGTTCACAAAACGCATTCCACCATTTCACTCAAATATGCCGCGGGCTCCTGCGGTGAAGCGCTACTCGCTGTTTCAGCGCTCAGTGCGCGTGGTGCAGACATCCATTCGTCGTGCAGACCGCTGGCTTGCCGTGCGAGTGCCAGGTTTGCCAAACCCACCCGAGATTGAGGAGAAACAGCGGAAGCCCCACTTTGTAGACCTGTGGGAACTCACTTTAGCCGACCATCGCCGCATCTTCCACGAGGTTTGGCAGGAGTACAAGGCGTCATTCGCTGGTCCGACCGAAGAGGAGCTGGAACAAAGCAAGGAGGAAGTCAAGCGAGCGGTACAGGCTGTTCGTGGCCAGGTCTCGAGCACTGCAAGCAAGAACTTAAGCTTCATTGACAAGAGTTTGGAGGGCACCAAAGCTCACAATAATCTCCACACGCTGGGCGAACAAGGAGCCGAGAACGTCAAATTCCTCACCAAGGAGATTAAACACGTGGCCGAGGGCGTAGACACGGACGCCGTGGTCTCTCATGCCAAGCAAGTGGTGGACGACAGTCGCAGTAAAGACGACGTGGCCACGACTCTCAAGAAGAACGTGAACGAGCTGCGTCACCTCGCGAAGGAGGGACGAGACGCTGCACTGAATTTGGAGAAGAAGGACGTTGAGACTTTCAAGACCAGCGCGCAGTCGTGGTTCGCAGACAAGCTGTTGGTGGGGCAGTCGGTGCTCATGGCCTTCATTGAAGGCTACCGAGAAGGGAAGCAACTGGAGATGGAACGCGAGGACGCTTTGTTGATCACGTTCGCGAAACAAGCAGCAGAAGACCACAAGGATATCATCGAGAACCAGATCAAGAAGATCATGGACCAACAGCGAGAACAGCAGCGACAGGAACAGGAAGCTGCACAAAAGGCTGGAGGCTCGGAGAATGAGGTGCCTGGGCAGAAGACCCCAACCAAGCCAAGCAGCGGCACTCCATCAGCTTCAGTCCAAGATAAATCTACTAGTGCAGTAGGCACAGAGCAGCAAGGTGACAAACCTATCACGATAGACGAAGAAGCCAAGCACAGGTAGCTCATTGTCACCAGTACTGGAAACGTTGGTGCCACAGGATAAAGGTAAATGTATTCGTTAGCACTGTGAAGAGTCGCTAGACAGGAGTGTCGGTTCCATTTCGAGCTGTTGTTTGTGTAAGGTCCAACTGATATCGCCACGATGCCGCAGAAGGAGGAGCTTGTACGGCTGGAGAAGGTTCATTTCGCAGAGGATGACGACGACGACGACACGTTTCAGTACGAAGCAGTGGACGATGGAGCTCTCGAGCTCGATGACGACGATAGGGATGAAGAAGACTTTGCCGCAGTGCTGCGAAACCTCAATCGTTCTACAATAGCATCAGCTCAAGACACGACGGCACCAGTCTCGTTGCCTTCTGCCAACGCCTCCAACGATGATATGAGTGCAGAACGCAGCGTTGCCGGCAGCCCCAAGCAATCGATAATGACGCGCGTCCACACTCAAGTGCGTCCGTCCGTAGTAGACGACTTTATCCGGAACTTCCTCATTAAATTGGGACTCACACGTACATTGGACATGTTCAATCACGAATGGTACGAGTTTATCGCCAAGGGTAAACTACGCGAAGACGACGTCGGCGTAGTGCCCGATATTTACGTGCGCAACCAGGCGTTAGACGACCAAGTGAAGGAGTTGAGACGCCAGCTAGAAGACACACGAAGGATCACCGAGAAGGCTAAAGGCACGTGGGATAAATTCCGTCACCAGCGTGATGTCCACAAGATGCATCACCAACGAGTATTGCAGGAGAAAGAAGCACTGTCAGTCAAGATCCGCAAGCTCGAAAAGCACGTGGCTGCTTATGAGCCTCTGCTTCAAGAACTTAAAGCCAAGTATGAGAACTCCATGAAGGAGAAGATGCTCATGCGAATTGAACGGGATCGACAAGTAGCGAGAGCAGAGGCGCTTGAAGCGCAGCTTAAAGCTGTTGGAGGAGTGTCGACAGCAACCAATACGTCAGGAAAAGGCAAAGTCGTGGCTCCAGTCGCACCTCTGAACTCCTCGAAGACCGCTTCCGGTGGGCAAAAGAAAAAGAGTAAGTCCAAGAGCGACGTGCCCGACACAAAGCTGCCCAACCCTGATGCTGCGAATCCGTTCGTAGACAAACGCTTCGAGCCTGTGAATCCTGAACGTGTGGAGCTTGCTCGAAGTTGTCAGGCTCATGCCAACTCTGTAGCGGCGGTGGCCTTCCATCCAAAAAATCCTATTGTGGCCACAGTTTCCGACGATGAGACTTGGAAGCTCTGGTCTGCTCCTGCTGGAGAGCTTATCATGAGTGGAGAAGGCCATCGCAGTTGGCTTTCAAGCGTAACTTTCCACCCACGAGGAGCGCACGTGGCCACCTCCTCTGGAGACAACACCGTCAAGCTCTGGGACTTCGTGGGAGCTGCTTGTTCACTGACTTTAGCCGATCACTCACATCCAGTCTGGGAGAGCGCATTCCACCACGACGGTGACTTCCTTGTAAGCGCCTCCATGGACCACACGTGCAAGCTCTGGGATCTGCATTCCGGTCGTTGCCGTCGAACGTTCCGAGGCCACGTTGACTCTGTCAATAGTGTCTGTTTCCAGCCATTCTCCACGAATATCTGCACGGGTTCTGGGGACAAGACAGTGTCCATTTGGGATCTGCGTTCAGGTCTCTGCGTGCAAACCTTCTATGGTCACCAGAATGCCTGCAATAGTGTGGCCTTCGCGCTTGCTGGTGATACAATAGCATCATGTGATGCCGATGGCTTCGTCAAGGTCTGGGACGTGCGTATGGTGGCCGAACGAAGCTCACTGGATGGCGGACAACATCCACTCAACAGCGTGGCATTCGATCGCAGCGGTAAGATCCTCGCAGCAGCCAGTGACGATGGATCCATCAAGCTCTTCAGCATGAAAACCGAATCACTCGCGACGGAACTAAAGGGCCACGAGGGCCCAGTCCAGGTGCGTTTTGCGGCATTTTTCAGTTCTTTTCTATTCATATTTGCAAGATGGCGGGGACTCACCTGTCTCTCTTCTGTTGGGGTGTCCGCCCATCTTGTCGTGTTATATATCTATCTGTTGCTGTGTCTGCAGTCCGTCAAGTTCGACCCGAACGGCCGCTTCTTGGCGTCCTCCAGCTCCGACTGCACCTTCCGGCTTTGGTCGACATAACAAAAGAGTCATGGAACAAGACAATGCCTACCTGGCTCTCCTCCATAGCCTTAATAAATCTTGATCACAGTAGTATACCACGTCCATACAATCGTTGTCGCCTTGTGCGTTGAAGTGCGAAGACTAGAGACTCCGGAGTCGTTCCTTTTTGCCTCCATACTCGGCGTTAAGTGTAACGCGGTAGTAAGTGACCTGCCAGTACGCGCAGAGGACGAGAGAGCAGAAGATCGAAAACAATCTCCATAGTACGTTGGGGAACACGCTCCACGTGCTGAACCAGACCACAAACAGCTCGAAAACTGCTGTAACTGCAACGTAGAGCCAAAACCGCGTCACGTAGAGCACTGGCGGCATGGATACTTCCTGATGAGGATCCCAGAAGTTGGAGATCACACAGGCGAAGTAGATGTGCAGGAAAACATTCATGAAAATCATGAGTCCGTAGCCGTAATTCACAGGAGCCAATGGATGCACGCGCGCAGGAGCGATACGGAAGGCGAACACCACGAGAGCTATCCGGAACGCCTTGTAAGCATACCGGGCTTGTCTGCTGTTACGCATAGCCAAGTCCGTGCATCGCTGCTGGATCTGACGCATGGGTAGAGTAATCTTTAGTGCATATAGCGCAGCAGTGAGTAGTGCCAGTGAACTAAAGAAGCCCAGCAGTGTCTTCACCGCCTCCTCTCCTCCGTAATGCTCCTGTGAAGCTGGTAACGTCGCGCGAATGTCGTGCCATACTGCATGTAAGTCCATGAAGAACCCAGCCCACCAATACCACGGCTTGAGCACAGAAGCCATGGGATATCCGACCGTGAGTGCTGGAATGGGTCGTGCAGACTCCACCACCACCTTGACGGGACTAATAGGCGATGTCATGGACGCAAACTGGCGCAAGTAGAAGAGTTTCCAATGGTATTGCTCGTAGAAATACTTGTGGTTGATGTTGTATCCCACCGGTAGTCGCATACCTTTGGGTTCGGGCTCCGATCTCTTCACTTCCAGGTCTACACCGGTGTATGCCGACTTCATGGGCGTGAACAGCTTCGCTTTGCGCAGCATCTTGCTGTACATGGACGAGAGGAAGCCCTGATCAGCTCCGTCGAAGCTCTCGAGATGACCCAGAGCGTTCAGTAGTCGCTGATACTCTGTAGCCGACGGTGTGACCACCAGTAGACCAGTGTGGAAGTGACAGGGGTTCATGAACACAGCACAGAACTCTCCGCACAAGAAGAGCTCGTCTGCATTGCGGATCAGTACATTATCGGCGTCCAGATACACGACGCGCTCGTATTCGAGCATGTTCCACACGTGCAGCTTGTTGAGTGTGTAGATGAAGCCCTTGTTGAGCAATGTACCCCCCACGAAGGGATTGTCGATGTTGGTTACGTCCAGTACGCGGCAGCCCATAGAGCGGAAAAGCGCCTTACTCTTCTCTGACACCGAGTCGGATGCCAACACCACCAGGTCGTATGGCGAGCCTGTGAGCTTGATCGAGTGCATCAAAACCTGTACACCCAATACATACTCTGCGTCGCGGGCCGTGCCTTCATAATGTACCGTCACGTAGGCGAAGCGACTAGTCGGAGGGTCCCGCTGTTGGTCGGCCACCTGCACCTCCGACGAGGCCGCCGCTAAGCCGAGCCACAGCCACAGGAACACGAGCGCGCGCACCCGCCACGACATGCTGGAGAGGATTATGGCTCGGAAGGGAGAAATGGACGCTCTAATGCAACTTAACTTCAGCTGGCAGCTGCAACTTATTCGATTAAAGCAACTTAGCAATGCAATCGTTATTTTCGGCTAAGTCCGATTCTTGCCACCAGTGGTTTTGTATTGTGCGGAGCCATTGATTGGCATAAGTCGAGTGACGCCGAAGCGATGGACCTGTTCACGGAGCTGCGCAAGCACGCAGGCGGCGCACACCCGCAGAAGGCCAAGCTCAATGTGGTGCTAGCCGCCATCTGCGATGTTATCTACGAGCGTCGCGCTAATGGCGACCGCCAGGCGCCCATTTCTCCCACCGAGTATTTCGCTGCACTCATGACAGCACTTGACGCTGCTTCGGACTCACATCGCCAGGAGATCGCACAGCTGCTGTCCATGGTGCTACCAGAAGTGCCTGAAGCTGTACTTCGCGGTAAATTCGCAGCCGTGGCCAAGTGTCTCACCACAGTTCTACAGGAAGCAGGAGACGACGCGGCGTTGCTACGCTCTGCCAGCGCGTGTCTGGCTCTGGCTCTGCTGGTACAGGAGCCATCGGCCACTGCATGGGCCCGCCCTGAACTGTTACGTAGCTTCCAATTGCTGCTGACGCTCGCGATGGACTCGCGTCCCAAGGTGCGCAAGGCCGGACACAAGTGGACTATGGACATCCTGGAGCTTCACGCCGCTAAAGGTTGTGACGCCCTGTCCACACACATTGCCAGCTTTGCAGAGAACGTGTTCGCCAGCTCCAAGAAGGACGGCAAGGATGACCAGCGTCTCGTGTTGCTCGTCGCCTTCCTCAAACTAGCGCTTCCACTGCTGCAACGTAAGGTGGTGGCCTCGCTGGTTGCTGCGCTTGCCAAATTCCTAGACGCCAACTCGAAGACACTGCGTCTTGTGACGTATGAAGCACTTGATGCACTAAGCGCTGCGCCAGAGTCGCAGCTGACAGCGGACGCGCTTCGTAAGCTCGTAATCGCAGTACTTGACGCACAAAGCAGTGGCTCTCTGGAGGCTCAGGGCGGCCCCGTAGCCATCTACGCCGTGCGTATCCCGTCTCAGGCACTTGTTCGTCTCGCCACTGTTAACGCTGAAGCAGCTCGCGAGCTGTTGCCGCGTGTGGTGAGCGCTGTATGCTCTCACATCGCCACGGACAATGACCGTATCCAGCGCCAGGCTACCCGCTCGCTGCTGACTGTTCTCAAGGCTACGCTGACCCCTGAGGTGCTCGAGACTGAAGGAACGTTTGAAGATGTGGCCCGTGTGCTGGCTTCGCTGCAGAGTCTCACTTCGCTGCGCTTCCAGGGGGCGTGGAGTCATGTTTTCCCGCTTATTGGTGAGCTCTTCCGTTTCTACGGACCTGTCAGTCGTCCAGCGCTCGAGCCCATTCTGGTTACGTGCTGTGAACTCCACGAGGCTGCGGATCAACTTCCTCAGCAGCAACAAGGAGGTAAGAGCGCTCAGACGCTGTCACAGTTGTTCGCGTTGGCTGCCGGTGCCGCTGTCGAGGCCTTGAGCCCACGTGCCTTCCTGGAGATCGTTCCTATCGACCATCCGACTGAGATTGTGAGTGAACAGCGTGCATGGCTTCTTCCAGTCTTCCGTGATGCGCTGCGTGTGACTCAGCGTGGCTGTGAGCTTGGATTCTTTGCCGATGTGGTGCTGCCTATGGCCCGTGCGTGCGAGGCTGGAGCACGTGAGGCCAGCGTCACTCCGTTGCAAGCCAAGAAGCTGCAGACTCGCGCTATTCAGCTCTGGACTCTCTTCCCGAGCGTCTGTGCTCGTGCTGTAGATATCGACACACATTTCAAGAAGATCGCCAAGGTTCTCGCTAGTGCTATGGCGGACAAGCGTTACCCGGAGTTGCGTCTCGCTGTCTGTCAAGGTCTCCAGGCTCTTGTTAAGCGCACGCGTGCTCTTCAGAAGTCTGTAGCTCGCCGCTACCAACGTGAGACGGAAGATGCTGAGGTGGAAGATGCCGAGGAGGCCGAAGAGGACGATAACGAAGAGCAGCTGGACGAGACCAAGCTGGCGCGTGACCGTGCCGCTTTGGCTAAATACTCTGGACGTTATTTGCCTCTGCTACTCTCCTTCGTGGAGGAATTGGACCCGGAAAAGGACACGGAACGTGCTCAGGTGCTGCTGGATACGCTCGAGGGCTTTGCCTCACTTGCTGAGGCTGAGCTGATCAGCACAACGTTCAAGAAGGTGATGCAGAAGCTGCTAGAGGCTACGACGGAGGCCAAGCGTGTGGAGGCTGAAGGTGCAGGCAGCAACTCTAAGCGTGCGACCAAGCTTCGACAGATTTCGCACGCACAGATGGCTCTGGCTTTGGCTCTGTTGGCTCACGTGGACGACGCCAATGTGGCTCTCCTGTACCGTGTGATCAAGCCGTACTTGCTGGACGATGCCGATGCGCCTATGCAGAAGCGTTCGTACGCCGCTTTGGTGGCCATTTGCGACTCTCACCCCAAGTTTTTGTCGGAGGAGTCTCAACTACAAGACCTCACTCGTGCTATCTGCGAGTCGCTGCTCACGTGCTCTGTTCCCGCTAAGAAGATGCGTCTGCGTGTGCTCGCCCACTTGATCCGTGCGCTACAGGCTCAGCCAGCTACCGACGGATTGGCGGAGAAGGAGTTGGTTCCCAACCTTGTTGGTGAGATCATGTTGTGTACCAAGGAGGCCAACGGCAAGGCTCGTGAAGCTGCTTTCGAGTTGCTAGTGGCCATGGCCATGCTGCTGCGTGCCCGCGACCCGCAGAACGGGCTCATGGAGTTTATTCAGATGGTTCTCGGTGGTCTGGCCGCTCGCACGCCTCACATGCGTAGCGCTGCTGTGATTTGCCTCAGTCGATTGGTATTCGAGTTCGGTCGCGAAGATCCTTCCATCGCTCAGGCGATGCCGTTGCTGCTCAAGACGGTTCTCATGCTGCTGCACGAGAAGGCTCGCGAAGTGATCAAGAGTGTCATCGGCTTCATGAAGCTTGGCATCGCCGTCTTGCCCAAGGACCAGCTGGAACAGTTCCTTCCTGACATCATCAATGGTCTGTTGGTCTGGATCGGCGAGAGCAAGAACCGTTTCCGTGCCAAGACGCGTATTATTCTTATTAAATTGTGCCGCAAGTTCGGCTACGAACACGTGGCTGCGCTTGTGCCCGAGGAGGACCGTGCTCTGATCCGTCACATTAAGAAGACCAAGGAGCGCGAAGACAAGAAGAAGTCGGAGCTTGCGGCTGAGGCTGCTGAGCGCCGTGCTGCCAAGAAGAACCGCGACGCGTTCGAAGAATTTATGGCCGACTCGGATGACGAAGGAGACGATGACGAGGCTGCGGCAATGCAAGTGTTGAAGCGTAAGAAGGACTTGCACAAGAAGCACAAGGGCGGAAAGGTTATCCGTGAGGACGAGGACGATATTATGGACTTCCTGGATGATAACGCAGCGGTGAAGAACATTTTCTCGTCCCAGAGAGGTGGCCATGATGACGACGAGAGCGACGACGAGCTCCAGATGAGCAAGGATGGCCGCCTGATCATCCCTGGCGGTGAGGACGACGACATGGATGGGGGCAGTGACAGTGACGATGAGGACAAGATCAAACAGGATGTTGCCTCTCAGCTACAGCGCATGGGACTTAACAATAACGGCAAACACGACAAGGGAGGACGAGCCAAGCGCAAACGCGACGATGACGGCAGTAGTGGACGCGAGTACCGTGCCAAGAAGGCCGGAGGTGACATTAAGAAGAAGGGCAAGCTCGAGCCGTATGCATACATTCCGCTGGACCCCAAGCTCATGGCCAAGCGTAACAAGCGTGAGGCTGTGACGCGCTATGGCGGCAGCGTTGGGAAAAGGCGAGGCAAAAAGTAAGTCTTCCGTCAGAAACACACAAGACGTAGGTAGACATCATACAGGTAGAACGCCATGGCCTGAGAGAGATCAGGCAGGGTACGTAACTGAATATCCAATTCTCGTAAGACTTTGCATTTCCCACACTCATTAGGTTGTCCATGTAATACTTTGTCAAAGTTGAAGTATAGTACTACTTCTAAAATGTGAGTCACCCTGACTCATCAAGTTGAGTCAGCACCAACAGAAACTCTATACTACAACTGAGCACTTCGAATTCACAAGTAAAGTAACGCTGTATTTACGAATTCTTTCGCTCACTGTCCTGCTCCCGAGCTGCTGGCGCAGCGGGAGATATTGTACATACGTATCCCTTATGGCATTGAGTCCTCCGGACGCTTGATGATCACCGTCTTGTGCTCCAAGTAGTTGCGCAGACCCAGCTCACCATTCTCGCGGCCGATACCCGAGTCCTTGAAGCCACCGAACGGAGTGTTCGAGTCAAACACGTCGTAGCAGTTCACGTACACCGTACCCGTGCGGATGCCGTTGGAGATCTTGATGGCGTTGTCGATGTTGCTCGTCACCACACCAGCACCCAGACCGTAGACGGAGTCGTTGGCGCGTGCAATGACCTCATCGATCGTCTTGAACTTGAGAATGGACATGACGGGACCGAAGATCTCCTCACGTGCGATGGTCATGTCATCAGTAACATCGGCGAACACCGTAGGCTCAATGAACCAGCCCTTGTTGCCGTGGCGCTTGCCACCAGCCAGCAATTTGGCGCCCTCCTTCTTGCCCTCCTCAATGTAACCAAGGATCTTCTCGAACTGGGTCTCGTCAATCTGCGAACCCTGGTCCGTCTTGGCATCGAACGGGTCGCCGACCACGCGAGCGTTGGCAGCTTCAACCGTGCGGCGCACGAACTCGTCGTAGATACCCTCCTGGACGTACACACGGGTACCAGCGATGCAGCACTGGCCCTGGTTCATGAAAAGACCAAGCTGCGACTGCTGAATGGCAAGGTCGATATCAGCGTCGTCCAGGATAATGTTGGCCGACTTGCCGCCGAGCTCAAGCGTGATACGCTTGAGGTTGCTCACGTGAGAGGTGCGCATGATCTGGTAGCCAACCTCCGTTGATCCAGTGAACGCGACCTTGTCGACATCCGGGTGCTGGGCGAGATGACGGCCAGCCTTGGCTCCAACACCAGGTACAATGTTCACCACACCCTTGGGGAAGCCAGCTTCCACAATCAATTCACCGACGCGGAGAGCAGACAGCGGAGTCTGCTCAGCAGGCTTCAATACAATAGTGTTACCAACAGCAAGAGCGGGGCCCAGCTTCCACGCCATCATGAGCAGAGGGAAGTTCCACGGGATGATCTGAGCACACACACCAACGGGTTCGGCCTTGGTGTAGCAAAGGTAGGGACCCGATACAGGGATAACGGATCCGTGGATCTTGTCGGGCCAGCCAGCGTAGTAGCGGAGGGTCTTGATCACGAGACCGAGGTCGGCAGCTTTGGCGACTGAACACGGCTTGCCGTTGTCAAGAGCCTCGAGCGCAGCGAGCTCGTCGATGTTCTCCTCGATGAGCTCAGCAAGGCGGTAGATGAGCTTACCACGGTCCTCCGCAGACATGGTACGCCACGGACCATCGAACGCCGCACGGGCAGCAGTCACAGCAGCGTCAATGTCGGCGGTGCCGCCTTCAGCGACATCAGCGATCTTCTCTTCTGTAGCGGGGTTGAACGTCTCAAACGTCTTGCCCTTGATGGACGGCACGAACTCACCGTTGATCAGCAGGTTGGTCTGCTTGACCGATACAGGCGTCGAGAAGTGACGTGACAGCACAAGTGGCGACGCCTTAGCGGCGGTCGCAGCAGACTTGACGGCGAAGGCGCTGGCCTGGACGCGTGGAATTTGACGCAGAATCTGGCGCTGCATGTTATTAAAGTGCTGGTTTGCTTGATACGAGGCAAATTGCCGAATGTAGAGCTATAATAGACGCTTTTGCCACTCGAGGACATCGTCATTGCACCGGCACAAGTCTGTTCAGGCCGTTTCCCAAAAAATAAATTTCTGGTAGGAGTATAAAATGTAGCGGTGCGGTTGATAGGAATTTGAAAGCTTGGAAAAACGAGCAAAATAAGATATTGGAGAGCATGCATTGCTTCAGTTGAAGACGGCTTCAAACGGACAGGCTTGCGTTTCTAGGACACTTTTTGAACTTCAACACACAAAGAAGGGACTGCGTTTTTTTTTTTTTAAGTCCTAAACTACCGGACTGCAGGCAAATTTGCCGGCCGTGTGCTACTTTGCCCAGCTCATGGATTCTGAGGATCGTCTGCAGGGCCCCCACCTGACCAACAAACTGCACAAGCGTTGCCAAAACGATAGTTTTTTCTTCCTGTTTAGGCGTGACTGTGCCGGCGGTACAATAGCGCGTTGACATGGCTTCAAAACATCTTGTCTTGCGTTTTCGTTGGTGTCTTGCAGTTAAATCCCGCATGTGGTGTTCCTCCATCTGGGGGGGGGGGGCTTGCAAAGGCCGAAAAGGCAACAATAAAAAAAAACTCGACGAATTTGACCCAGGCTGGAGTTTTTTTTTTATTGCGTATCTGTGGATGAACGCCGTCAGCAAAGAGCTGTTTAGAAACAGCTGTGAGTGTTGATCGAAGGGGAACCATGTTGAAGAGAAAGGAACACGACTAGATACTACAGATTGTGGTGAAGTTCGGCTCGCTGTAGAGCGGGCATCAGTGCTAAAACCCACCTTCATTTGTCAGCAGTAGACACGGTATTCAATGGTAGGCGAATATTTATACAATACTAGTACTCCAACCTTGGCTTCGTGAGATGATTCCGCACGATCTTTCCAACAGTGCTGGATTCCAGCAGTCGAAACACCTTGTTGCTGCTTGGAGTCCAAGTTGGACAGGATCGTTGTCCGAGTGTTGCTGCTTGGTGCCGAGAATGTACCCGTCTTTGGAAGGGAGTTCCCTCCCCAGGAGGGCCTCCTGATCGTTTCAAATGGTTGTGTTAATTTGTCTTTTGTTGTCTTTGTCGTATTCTCGCCAATCCAGGTTTTGATAGTGCTGGGTCTGTCTTTTGTTTACGTGACGCAGGCCGCACAATACAAGACAGGAGCTTTTTCATGAAGCCGCAGCTTGCAGCCACGCTATGTGTGCATTAAAAGCACAGACACAAGGCCGGCTGGCCGAAGTTGAGTGGGTTGTGGCACAACTTGCGCAGCTTGTTTCCTTCGAGGCTGCATTTGCTCGTTGCAAATCGCTCATGATTCTGCACCGTCTTCAATTCTGAAGCGCCGCCATATGTTACGTCGGGTATAGCCAATATGGCCGTCAGACTTGGCGGAAAAACGTCGGATTTCCAAATGTGGACAACGAGTTTACACAATGATCACGTCATTCGTTTCTTGGTTTCCAACATGACAGTTGGGTACAGAAAAGCGGTTGGGGAGGGAATTGATTATCGTAGATTTGTAGAACCAATCTGTTCCTAATCATGTACCAGATATGAAAGGGTATTTGTATCGGGGGTAACTTTGACGTCGTAAAACGGAATCTGACCACCGAGTTTACATTCGCCTTACTTCAACGTCAAGACGGGGGGCACGCTTCATGGCACCCCCGGGAATCTGACCGACGAAGCGATGGGATCCGGTGCGGCAACTTGCAGCTGACGATGCACTGGTGGCGCGTGCAAGCTTATGCGCAGCTACCGTAGTGTGCCGGTCACGCTGTCGGCGTCAGCGTCTTGAGGATTCGCGATCATAATGTTGAGACCGCTCTGGCATCCTGAGGGGTGTTATTGGGCAGCAGTGGTCTTGCAGATTTTGTACAGTGGAGTGCAATAGCGTTCAACATCGTATACGTAGGAAGAGCTCATTTCCATTTAGACTGATAGTTACGTCTACATGTACTCGCGAACCTCTTCAACGTGGAAATCGTGTTCTTGCTTGTGGACACCTGCAAGAAACATGTCACCTTTCTCGCTCTAGGGAAGCTGACATCACAAGGCTAGATATGCACGCCAACCACAGCTGGACTACACATTGTGTGGCCATTTCATGCGATTGCGCACAGCACTTGTCGAGCTCTTTCACCTTGCTATCGGATGACGGTGTTTCCGCCTTACAGATCGTCCGAGACGGCATCCCAAAACCCGCGCTATGCATTGTGGTGAATTGCAACGTCAGCAAGTATTAATGTCTTGAGGGAGTTTGCCACCAACGCGTGAAATTCATTCCGCTTTTTACTTTTTCGCCGACACTTCCACTTCAAGCGACCCCGATACAAAATCCAATGCAGCGCCACATTCTGCGTACCCTTCCGCGCGTCCAGGCCAATGCCTTCTCCCACGCCACTAGCATGACGGCTGCCAAGGCATCGCCGGTAATGTTATCCCGCCAATTCTCGTCCAAGGTTGCAGTCAAGCAGACCAATCTACTGATCAACGGCGAGTTTGTGCCTTCGGCCAGTGGCCGCACCTTCGAGACGTTCAACCCCGCCACGGAGGAGAAGATCGCTGACGTGTCAGAGGCTATCAACGCCGACATCGACGCTGCTGTGGCTGCTGCCCGTGAGGCATTCGAGGGTCCGTGGCGTACCATGTCGGCCGAAGACCGAGGCAAGCTCATTTACAAGCTCGCTGACCTCATCGAAAAGAACATCGACGAGATCGCGGCTCTGGAAGCACTCGACAATGGCAAACCTTTTCACGTCGCAAAGGAGAACGATCTGCAACTAGT